GCGGGGGCGGCGCGCGCGGGGGCGGCCGGCGGGCGCGGGGCCCCGGGCTTTACCTGCCTTTGGAATGTGCAGAGCGGGATCGGATCCGGACTCCGGGTTGCGATCCGCTCCGGAAACTGCGCAGCACCGGAAGCCGGGGGGCGGGGGCGGGGCATTGTGGGAGTTGTAGTTCGCGGCCGGGCGAGGGCGCGGGCGGCGTGGACCCCGGGCGCCGACAGTGCGGACCCGGAGCAGGCGGCGTGGACCGGGGCGCGGGGTGAGCAGGCGGCGTGGTTCCGGATCCGCGGGGAGGGGAGGGTCGGGTTCCGACTGCCCTTCCCCCGAGCGGGAGGGGGTATCTGAGAGCCACGCGCTGCCCCTTCCCGCGTGGCGTGGCCCGGTCCCGTGACCGCGACCGCAACGCGCGCGGACGGCGCGCACAGCCCCCTGGACCTTGCTTCTGGCGGCTCCGTCGAGGTCCGATTTCCTTCTGGGGGGCCAGGTGGGAGAAGGGGTCAGGTTTTTCTTTAAGTCGTGTCTGAGATTCGCTGCCCAGTCGCCACAACCCTGGACTCAGCCGATGGCCGCGGCCCTTCTTGGCCGTGTTTCCTGTTCATCCGTAAACACAGAAGCGCCTGCTCGGCCCGTCGTGCAGGGAGCCGGGCGTTTGGACGCCGCGGAGCCGCTGCTGCGTGGACGGCGCGGGGCGCGCACCCGGGTCCGAGCGGGGTGAGGCCCTGAGGGTCCCTCCTGCCCCCTTCCCTGCCGAGCTTGGGGTTTTTTGTTAACTCTTGACCCCTTCATCGCGTGTACCCGTGGAAACAGAATGGTGGAAAGAGAAGGGGCTGGTCCCGGCCCCCCAGATGCAGAGAACTCGTCCTGCTCGTTGCTGCCTGGCGGGAACCTCCACGAAGCAAGTCGGAGGAGGTGATGAACGAGGGGGAGAGGATCTGAGATTGGAGTGGGCAAAGCTCACGTCCCTCCTACACGCAAAGCTCTTACGAATCGATAAAAAGATAACCAACCCACAAGAAAAACGAACAAAGTCTGCGGACAGTTCACATAGAAAACGCAATGGCTCTTCAGCATATGCGAAACTATTCAGCTGTGCGGTAATGAGAGAAAAAGCAAATTGCAGTGAGATCGTTTTTATCGATTACGTTGGCAATAGAGAAAAAGGTTAACAGCATTATTCTGAGGAGACCGTAGACGAACAGCTGTCTCATCCCTTGCTGGTGGAAGAGTAGATTGGGGTATAGTGGGAATTAACCCAACAGCCAGACTCACTTGTGTGAGTTGGTATACGTGTAAGGCTCGTCACAAGTCCCCATCGGAAGGGCGCTCACGTGTGGAAGGCTGAGGGCGGCGTGGCGTCCTGTGCTGCTGAGGACTCACTGCTCTGCCCTCCCAAACGGCCCGCAGTGACTTCCCAGGGGCGCTCGCAGCTCGTCTGGAGCGCAGCCCCCCAAGCCTTCCTTTGTTATCTCACCTCTGCCCTGCCCATACTCACCCAGCCCTCTCTATTCCACAGACACATTCTGGGGGCTTTTGTTGTCGTTCTGTCTCCCCAAGGTTTTCCACCACTCTCTCTTCATCATTCAGGTCTTTGCCCAAAAGCTCCCCAACCCTTAAGAGCCCCAAACTAACCACTGCAGCTAATGTGCACCCCCCGTCCCCACATACACATACATACCCGCCCTTGTAGTGATATCACTCACAACTCCCAAATGCCCAGATGGCCAGCTCTCTGGGCCTTTGCACACTACATACATACCAGCATACATGAACAAAAGAAGGTCGTTTACCAAAAAAAAAAAAAAAAGGACAGGTCACAGCAAGAGCAAAAAACTGAAAGTAGGCAAGAGCTCGACCCCCCTAAAGCCATTTCTCAGCAACACACAGAGCACAGGGCTGCGGTTCGGATTCCAATCATTGCATCTTCAAAAGAGCTCTCAGCATATTCAGCATATGTCTTCTGTGAAGGCTGGGTTGTAAAGTCTTGTTGCTCAAGGTGTCAAAATGTTACTTGTTTACAACCTTGCAATGGACAGTCTTGGAACCCCAGGCAGAAAAAAAAGAAAAGCCAGCTATAAAGGATGTTACTGGGGAAATTTGAATATGGGTTGGTACTAGATAATAGTATTGCATCAATGATAAATTTCCCAAGCATGAAAACTGTGTTACACGGATGCTATGGGGATGCCCTGTTCTTAGAAAATGTATTCTAAAGAATTTAGGATGCAACATATCTCCAAACGTCATAAAATGTAACAAAATTGGAGAATTTAGGTGAAGGGTGTATAAGTTATTCTGTAGATTTGAAATTTTAAAAAATAAGCTAAGGAATTAAAAACAAAAAAACAACGGAAAACCAAAGAGCTTCAGTTGTTATCAGCGGGTTTTCCTAAGAATCCTTCCTGAGCAGAGACTAGCTGTGGCATTAAGATGCGATCGCTCTGTCGTGTGGCCTGATTGAGGGCGGTGCCCACAGCCCTGACGTCAGCCTGTCTTCGACCTGAACTTTCCCACTGACATGCCTCATCAGCTCTTGTTCTTTGTTAATTTAAATATAAATCATTAGTACCAGACGTTGCGGATGTACATGTCCTAAGCTACTTCTCTGTACTCCCTCTAGCTTTCATTTTCAATCTGGCTAATTTTCCCCATGGAGAGAAGTCATCAGCAGATAATTTCATTACTACTATGTGCAAAGCATTGCATCTCACTTTATATTATTCTCACCCATAATGGAGCGTACACTTAAAGTTCAGAAAAGACCATATGAGGCCATAAGTCCTTGGTGTCTCCATTTGACACAAGTAGAGACTCGTGGCTTTGAGCACGGATTCTCCAGCCAGACAGCCTGGCCTCGAATTCTGAGTCTGCCACGTACCAGCTCTATGGTCTTGGACATATTATTTAACCTCTGTGTGCCTTGGTTTCCCAGTCTGTAGTGCTGGGATAGATTGTAACTCGTGGGGTTATCTCAAAGAGTACAGGAGTCACTATCTGTAAAACACTTGGAAAAATTCCTGGCACATAGTACGTGCTCAGTATTAGCTGGTATCACTGTGATTCGGTCTTTCTCCAGCCTTTGTATTAAATACCAAGTAGCTCAAGTTACCTAGGCATCTCGCTTGACCTTATCAGTATTGATGACATCAACAATCAATAGATTTGAATGCCTGGCAACTGCAGGGCGGGACTGGGCAATTGCATAATGGACAGTCAGGGTACAGAGCCAAGGTAAGCTGGGGGCCATGTGTAAAAGGTGATGCTCCTAGGTCGCCGTGGGAAGAGGGTCTGGTCTGGAACTTTCTTTCCAGGGAGGGCACTGCACTAGCTCATCCATCTGGTATCCAGCCCTCTGTGGTGAGATATCTGCCTCTTCTTTTCAATAAACAGTTTACTAACATAAACGCACAACACCCTGTATTTGTCAAGGTGATCGAGGTCAAAAGCAGCATGGTTTTTGTCATGTGCATCCCCTCCTGGGCCCCATGAGGATGGGTGTAAGTTGCAAGTGCTTATCTAATGCCATCAGCTGACGTCGGTCAGAGGGGCACCATCCTAAGCCCAGGGCATACGGGCACTGACATTCTCACTGGGGAGCGAACATAGGAGAGCGTGATAAGGGACCGTTATAGGGCCTGAAGGATGCCGACAGAAGGGCCCTGGGTCATCCTTGGTGGCCGGAACCGCTTCATGGAGAAGGCAGGGCTTGAGTTTGGTTAGATCATTAGGAAGGTGAGGGGTGTATGCTGGGGATAAGGGGGTGCACGTTCCAGAATGACCGCAGGTGGCTGAAGGAGACTACTTTGGGCAGCGTAGACAGAATTGGCAAGAAGACAGTGTCCACCTGGAGGTGACCAGCAGATGAGGTTAGGAAAGCTGGTAAATTAGGACACGTTTGCCCTTCCAGCAGTCCATCCAGTCTCCTGGAGTGTCAGCACAAAGTGGGCCCCAGGTCACACAGGAAGCCATTTAATCCCAGGCCCGGGACCCGTCAATCCTGAACAAGACGCAGTGCCACCGCCATCTTGTCACCACCTCAGCTTGAGAATCCGAATCTGAGCCCCTCTCGCAGCTGGGGCTTTTCCTGGGGGGACTCGTCCCCTGAAATGCAAAGCTGGGAATCAGTCTAGGCACCAGAGTGACCCAGGCATGGTCAGGGCAGCTGAGAGGAAGGGTGGGGGCCTGGTAATTCCCCCAGTGCCCCAGTTCTCCAAGTGCTTCCACACTTGGGCACAGCAACGGGGATAAATCTGAAGGAAACAGAGAAACGGACGAACAGGAAGTGGGGATGCCGGCAGGGGCAGGGGTTGGGCGGGACGTGGCTGAATGCACTGCCCCGGACCCAGCTGCTCCATGCCATCCTGTCGCTGCTGTGAGGCCTGTGCCAGTGCAGACACAGGCCGTCCTTCCCAGGGACCCACCGGACGTCCTCCTCTGACCCCATGCGCTACACTCACCCATGGGCCACTGAGGGGTGGGGTGTTGAAAATGGGAGTTGATGGATAAAAGCTCCCACCCCCAAGGGGACCTTACCCCTCATAAGGTCCTTGGGGATCACCCGGGGTCCCATGGCCACCTTATGCCGGGGTTTTGCCACTGGAGACCAGACCAAGCAGCCCCTGACTGGTGAGCACCCACGATTCACCATGACCCGGAAGCTCACTACAAACACTGACTTCCTAGTAAATGGTTCACCTCAGGCCTAAAACAGGGTGCTGAGTGGCTTAAAAATCATGTAAGAAGAATGTTAGGAGGAAAGGCCTTTGCCAAGAACTGAGCAAGTTGGAAGCCTGCCTTGTTATGCCAGCTGACCATGCTGGTGGCCTGCAGTGACCGCTGAGGCACGTGACGAAAGACCATGGTTCTGAGACCCTCAGAGAAATTCGGGACCTTCGGGCCAGCACGGGATTCAGCACAAACAACTCGGTGTTTAGGGTTCCATGTGCACATTTATTTCTTTAAAGATCATTCGCGTTCCAGCCACGTCGTGTCCAAGTGAACCGCACGGCACAGGGCTGATGGCTGACTGGAATCATGTTTAAAGTGCTACGGAGGAATACAATCATTGTCATGTAAATTCATCACCACACTGGATCACAAGCCAAACCTTTCCACAAACCTAGGAAACCTTTTCTTTTTTAAAAAATGTAGCTTTGATGTGACACTGGGCAATAAAAACTAAAAGCCTAAATTATAAACATTCCGGACCCGTTGGAGGCTGGGTGAGCTGGGGTGGTTAATGCCTCGTCACACGTACAGTAGGAACGCTGAAGACAAGGAATCAGAGGTAACCTGAGTTTGCTTTGCAGGATGTCGCAGTGCATTGTCCCTGTGTCACTTGCTTTGGTAATCACGCCTTGGCAGGTTTGGGGCAGTGGACAGACGGCCCAGCATCAGGGTCTCCGTCAATACTGGGCTGTTTTCTATCCAGTAGAGATAAGTGTTCTAACCTTGAATGTCCACTAATGTGTTGAGGTTCGAAAAGCCTGAGTGGAGTCATCACTCAGCAAACGCCTGCGTTTGGTGGCAGCAGTATAAATGCATCTTTCCCTTTGTGCTCAGAAAGAAACTCTACAACTTTCTTCTATCAATGTGGCCGGTAGAACCAATCAGACATCTAGAAAGGCACCTAATTTGCGACTGGTTGGCAGTGACGGGCCCGATAGCCATCACCAGGAAATCAAGGGCTGGTTTTGAACTTCAACTTGAGACTCGATTATATAAATAAAGTGCTCTGAACCTTCTTCCCCATAGCAGGCTTTCAGTGCGGACAACGAGATGGATACTTTCGTTAATGCTGCGTTAAGCGCACTCACACTTAAAACTCCATTTCACGCCTCTACAAAGAACACAAGCACACCCTCACACAAAGCGGACGGAAACGCTGCCAGCTCATTAAAACCAGCGTGCGCTCCTGGTCCCAGACAGACAGACAGACATGCGTTAATATTAGTGCTCACGAGGAATCACTGTTCAAATTCAATTCCACTGCAAACATTTCATCAAGACCCGAAAGCAAAACCGGAAGCCCTGCAGCCACTAATGCTTGCAGGGAAGGGTAAGGGAGGAGGTGGTTTACAAATGAGCACGTTTTATACTGGCTGCATAATCTTAATTGATATTTAACCCTAATGACATTGACTTTACCATAAATACCCTACACCATTAAAAAACAAACCTGGATGAACAGCTTGGAAAAGACACATTCACAGAATTGATACAGCCCATTGTCTCCTGGTGCATCCTGGTCCTCTAACCAGAAAAGGCCGTTGTGGAGACTGGGTGTGTGCGCCTGGAGGACAGGCTCCTGGGGCTTACTCCAGCGTCCAGAAGCTCATGTGTGCCCAGCAGACAAAAAGGAACGGAGCTCCAAGACCACACTCTCTGCCTCCCGTATCTCACTGGTGAAGGAGGGATGCAGCCCACCTGGCACTTTCCCAGGACCCTGGAGAGGTTTCAAGTCACAAGGAAGTTGAGAAAGCAGAGCCCTTGACGAAGGTGTTAAATGGTGAGGCTCCTGGGGTCAGTCTGGGAATGGCTAAACACAAATTTTTTTTTTTTTTTAGCGAGAAAACTCAATCTAAAACTGATACCTTCACACTGGAATAAATTGAGTCCATCTGAATTTCAAAATGAAACGAAAAAAAACTACCAAAAATTTCTGGTCAGTGTTTGATATTCTGACACATAATGTCTTCTTGGAATTCATTCTTACACGTCACACGTTCTTCCTGCTGCATGAGAAAGAACAGAAATCCTTCAAGTAAAACACAACATTAGTGACCAAACATCCCCAAAAGGTTAGTAGTGGATTACCAACATGTGGGTATTGAGTATGAATAGATGTTGTAATGCCAGATGCTATTTTACAATGATTAAAATTGGAATATAATCTTTAAAAACAAAGTATGGTAAATAAGTCATAGTACAGTCACTTGATAATTCCTGGGACACCTAAGAATTTTGTAATGTAAAGAATTTTAAAGTAGAATTCTTAATGTAGATTTCTAGATTCTCCTTCCCAATAAAGGGAAAAAAATTCTGTAATTTTGGTTTTTATAAAACTTTCTTGCTCACATCAATGGCTCTCTTACCCCTGAAATACACATTTAAGGATTAACCAAAACGCCCATCCAATTTCACATCCGTGACAAGCGTCAAGTTTTTGTAATAGCCTTTTAAATCGTGTTGGAGGAAAAAGGAATCGCATTAAACCATCAGAACCTTTCCCCCGAATGACAGCTGCTTTTTAACGAGCATATCTCCTCTAAAAGTGGCACACTCAGTTTGTGAATGCACCTAAGTGGCGTGCTACTGCGGAAAGCGGTTTGAAAGACACGTAGGGATATTAAAATCGCGTATCAAGTTTATCATTTTTTCCACTGGAAACCAAAACACGGTCACGCCAACGCGTGTGGAGCATTCACAGTAGAGTCTGACGAGTCCCGTAAGGAAGGGTCTTCGTCCTTCAACGTCCGTTCCTAAGGCTGACACCTGAGACAGAAAAAGAATTTCCTCTTTAGCCCTAAAAGTACTTTGTTTCCGCTCTTGGCAATATTTGGCAAACCAACCTCGGACCAAAGAAAATCCAGGCGTGTGTGGGTCCCACATTCTCTTAGCTGTCACTTATTGTTCCCTAGTTCACTGGACAGGCTTGCTGCACTCCATTTCGCAAGTGTGCCAGATGGGGACCAAAATCCGTGTGTGGACTGCTCCACTGGTTTTAGTAGAGTTTTTCACAACATAGAGAAAAATGTAAAAACCACATAAGAATTTATGTATCTCCCACTCGCAGATAGGCTCAAAGTAAACTTAGAAAAGTGTTCATCACAATATGCATGGGGTATATTCAGTATTTGCATAAATTTTCAAGTCCTATGGCTAAGAACAAAGGTAATTGTCTTCCTATGTTTGTCACAGTGTTTCCATTCCTATCGTGATTTCTCTGTTGAAACCACCGATGTCCCAGCTCTCTGTACTCAGAGCCGACTGCCCCGTTTTTTCTGGAGCAGCCACTTAGGAGAGGTGACCTGTGCATCCCGTTCACAGTGACGGCACAGTCTCCTTGTGATGCAGTCCAGGCGTGGACTCCACATCATACCCGTCAGAGCACAGAGTGGGTGAAACCGAGTCCCCAAACCTGCCCCATCCACAGCCCATGTAGTATGTTCTTTAGTTCATCATCAGTCTCCCCCTAATAATGAACTTTAGCTCTCAAATCTGAGCACAGCCCATGCACAGGAGCCATGGGGTCTCCTGTGCCTCTGGCAGCCAGTTGGGCTCTGTCAGTTGTCTCTAGGGGGACCTCCCAGCCGGAGGCTCAGATTTCCTTCCCCTTTAAAAGGTGACACTGCTGGGGAAACTGCAGCTAGACAGGGCGGGCATCTGACAGCTCACTGGCACGCCGGCGTGTCCTGGTGGGTCGTGATGGGGTCCACGTCTCCCAGCATCACCGTGAAGGAGGCCGCCGACCGGGCCTATGCACAGGGGTCCCCGTTCACGGTGCTTTTGCTTCTGTGCTTGGACAGCAGCTTCCTGTTGAGGATCCTGGTGAGCGTGACGCCCCGCCTCCGGGCCGCCTCCGGCTGCTGCAGGAACACGAGGTCGTTGTGTGACTGGCTCAGGCCAGGGTCCTTCTGGTGATGCCGCCGGCGGAAGAACAGCTTGGCGCCTTTCCTTAGGATGCCTCCTGGAAGAGTACAGCACAGGGGGCTGGTCAGAGGGGCTGCGGACGAAACACCAGGACAACTAGGCCGCGTTGAAAAAGAAAAGGAAGTGAGGATGACTCTAATAAGAAGCCATCGCTGTCCCCATGAGACGACAGCTGGAACCGGGCCTGTGCACAACACCCGAGTTGTCAGGATGAAGTGAACACTGGGAAAGCAGGGGGCGGGACTATCACTCCTATTCCCAGGGCAGGTATTTATGCCACTGACCATCCCATCACACCAGATGCTGGCAGGCTGTCCTCACCTTGGCCCTCAGGTCCCCTCAGCCCCCCACCCCCGACTCCCCTTTATTAGGGAGAGTGTAAACTGTGTGCCTCCCCAAAGGATGCTCATGCTAGTATCAGGGCCCTGGGAAGAATGGTATTCACTTAGGAAAGTCAAATAACATTTATTCTTTGGGGGAATAAGGTTTTTTTATAACTCCAGATCCTATTGTGAACACAGAGGGTGTCAAAAAATGTATACACATTTTAAGAAAGGAAACAACTATTAAAATTGTAATACTCAATATATACTGATAACAAAAGATGAATACAAGTCACGTTTGACTTCTGCAATGACAAGAGGTGCTCAAAGTGGTTCCCATCAGCGTCCAGACACTTCCGATGATGGCGAACTACTGCTTGAGCAACGCTGACCGAAGTGCCCACTTGTATACATTTTTTTTTGGCACCCCCGGTATATCAGGCTATGTCATCCGCCATGTCGGTTACTTGATCAGTTCTGACCTACCAAGCCTCAATGCATGTGGTTTGAACAATCTGTATGTGATGTCAGGTAGTGGAACATGGAACAGAAAAAATATTAGCAGCAGCAACAATAATTTCAACAGCAAGGATTCCGTAAAGATCAAATGCAAGCTAATTCTGTGTGTGTATGTGTGGGGGGGGACGAACCCACTAACCTGCTTACACTTTCACTGACTCACTTAACATTCGCCAAGGCCCAGCACATCAGGGAGCCTGTCCAGCTCGCCTGTGAAATTCATGACTCCTGGCATGGAGGTGTTAATGACTTTGAAAAAAGATAGACCTGAGAATCACCAGGGAGCTTTAGAGCTGATCTGGCAATTCATTCTTTTCCTGATAGACAGATGCCACAGATTCTTCAACAGCCACAGCACTCACCAAGCCCCGCCCCGCCATGTCTGTTCAAGCGGGGAGGGATGGCTGAACAGCGTCAGTTTGCTCCTCTGCCCGGCCCTGTCTGCGGTCCTCTGGCTAATCCACACTTACCAGGCTAAGCAGCAGACGGGCAGCTCCAGGGCCCCAAGGAACGGGCCGATTTAATCTGCTCAAAGCTGCTGAAAAGACTTTAACATTTTTTTCTTTTCGGATCCAGGCAAATAACCTATTCTGAAGAATCACTGGGACATTTTAGTTTTTACACTTATCTAAAGTCAGGAGCCGTGTGCAGGGTGAAAGGGTGGGTGGGGAGGGCAGGGGGTAGGAGGGTGCACACAGACACGTAAGTGGCCTCGCTCTTGTCCGTGGGCCTGACGTGGGACATGTGTGGCCCGTACATGTCCGTTCCTGCAGCTCTTCAAACCCCTGTAAGAGGCAGCGTGTCACCGAAGGTCACCAGTGAGGGGGCTCAGCATGCAGATGGCACCACCAAGCGCACTTGACGCTGGAGTCTGGCTGGTGGGTGCGTGCAGTGGTGGCCTCTGTTTAATGACCTGGCGTATCAAATGCTTGGGCCTCTCAGCCTGACCAGGTAGCTTCAGGTTGGGGGGCCTAGGAAGTATTTCTGATCTGTAGGCACCTGCTTTTGGTTGAGCTTGGGGTCCCCAAAGGACATATAATATGGGGCTCTCACACTGGAAGAGAGGAGAGGCAGGGGGAGCTGAGGGCCCACTTGGCTAACCTGGACCCTTCGAACCCCACACCTTCCACCGCAGTCTCCCCAAGGGGAATGAAAGCTCCATCTCTGAAGCCCATTTCATTGTGTCCCTGCACTGAAATCGCTCTGGGGTCTGGAGCCAGGGCCCAAGGTGTGAACAGGGGCAGGGTTATGGGTTGGATTACGTCCCTGTGAAATTCCTATGTTGGGGTCCTAATCTCCGGCACCTCAGAAAGTGACCTTGTTTAGAGAAAGAGTCAGTACAGAGGTGATTAAGTTACAGTGAGGTGACTGGGGTGGGCCCCAATCCAATCTCACTGGTGTCCTGATAAATGGGACATTTGGACCCAGACACACACAGAGGACACCACATGAAGGTACAGCAGAGATGGGGAGCGGGGGGCGCTTCTACAAGCCAAGGAACACCCGAGATGGCCAGCCACCGCCGGAAGCTGAGGGACCGGGGACAGTTTCCCCCTCGTGGCCTCAGGAGGAACCGATAGCTCACCAGGCCTGTGTTTCCCTGACTTGACATGACTTGTCATGGCTGCCATGGGGACAACATCAGCGTCTTGGACAGAGGACAGTCACATGAGGGGAGACTTGCAGTTCTACCGGCTGGAGCCCTGGGAGCATCTCCCACGACCTCTGAGGGAGGCCTTAGCCTGGCTGACACGAGGAAGCTGAGGCTCGGGGAGGTGACATGCTCTGCCCTCCTAACATGGGCCAGAGCGGGACGCCCGTGTTCCCGTGCCCGGCTCTTCTGTGCTGTTAAGGATGGCATCCATGCTGGAAGGGGACAGGACCCACTCCCGAGAAGTGGCCAGCAGGTGTCTGTAAGGGGCACCTCCTTTGGCAGTCAGCGAGGAGGCTTCCAGAGAGCGGGGTGGATGGCAACGGTCAGAGGTTGTCACAGAGCAGAGTCCCGCCCCCGACATGGACTCAGACCGGCTTCCTGGAATGACATAAATCTCTCGAGAGGCGTGCCGGTGACACGGGTGGGACAGGACATTCTAGTGATGCAAACCCATCTCCAGGGCCCACAGTTTAGCTCATCAAACAAGAGGAGTAACTGGCATAGACAGAGTCCCTTGTCATTTCTAAATATAAAAAAGTTGAAAGTGTTTAAACTTGGCCACTGCATCAGTTACCTGAGGCGTAAACAACGGCCACTCCACGGCGGGTGGAGGTGTAGGGGGTAAGGGTCATAGCACAGCGAGGCCAGCGTGCTCTGGCTCTGTTGTCAGTGGGAACGTAATACTAGTGGGAGCTGCCTGGACTGACAATGGCTGTGTGGTCACTTTGTGTGAGCTTGGCTGGGGTGCCTGGGCCTGAGCTAACAGAGACGGCCCTAGGTAGTTGGATGGGCTTCATCTAGTCAACTAAACAACCAAAGAACAAAAGCCGAGGCTTCCTGGAAAAGAAAACACTCTGCCTCGAGACTAGTGTCAGCTCCTGCCTGCGTCTCCAGCCTCCAGACTCATTAGCCCCCAGAGTCACATGAGCCAATCCCTTGAAATATGGAGCCTGTGGGCTCTGGTTCTCTGCAGAACCCTGAGTGAGACGAGCTAAGCCTGGTACACCACAGCATCTGTCACCGGTGGTGACAGGGAAGTTCACGTCACCGGGGCGAGAGCAGCCGAGGCCGTCTGGGCGTCACAGCCTAACTCTTTTATTCCAGGCCACCTGAGCCACACTGACAGGCAAGAAGCAAGGGTCAGGCCTCACCCGCAACCCGAGAGATTCCGCAAGGGAAGACTGGGAGGCAGGCTGGGTGAAATTTCAGGCAAATATCTTAAATGAGGGACAGGAAGGGGAAAAAAATCTTTCCTTGATTGTAGCACAGTTAAAAAAAAAATCACAAGGAGGCTGAAGAATACACAACATACGAAGGAATTAAAAATAGTTATTCTGAATGGCAGCCTTATTAACTTTCTTCCCTTGTCTCCACAGAGTCTAACAGATGTAAATATTACAGTTCATTGAAGAATCCGTCTTGAAATCTGATAGGTAGGAAAACAGGGACCAAAAGCAGCCTTATAAATTGTACTTTGCTGCCCAAAGACCAGCTTTGGATTTCAAGCCAAACCATAGACGGTCCATTTGTAAAAGCGACTACTCTTTAGACCTGGAGGACAATTAAGGGACCAGTCTGTATGTATGTCACAGCGAGGTTGTCCTGTCCCATCACGTCACAGAGACACGCCC